GAGTAGGGGGCTATGTGATGAGTTTACTTTGGCTTCTACTATTCAACCCTCATGTTTTTGGCTCCCTGAAGGCAGATTAGATTGCTGTTGTACACGCTTCTCCGCGTTCGGGGCACCTCACGGGCTCTCGGTCTCGGTACGTACCTCGGAGCGGCAGAGTCCCCGCGTAGCACCTACCAACCTTAGCCAAAGCTGGGAGAAGCCGAGGCAGGCCACTGTTGCTGCTTCGGTCGCTCTGAGCCGCTGCCGAGCTCCAAAGCCACCTCCAATTTCTTAATCTCAACCTCACAGTCAGTAGCCTCATCCTCATCCTCATCCTCATCCCCTTGGGGTTTCTTTTTTTGTTTACGCGCAATTGTATACTCGAGATTGCCCTTTCTTGTTTGTTTGTCCAGACCTTGCGATTTTAGCAATTGAAGGATTCCCAGAGCGATGCAGTGATCCCCGCGTTTGCGCTTCGAGCTTCCTGTATCAATATCGTCCTCCGCAAACTTTACCACATTCCCTCAAGCTTGACTCCTTCTCAAGATGGCGTCCTCTTCAAAGCCAGCTTTGACTTCGAGCAGGCGGAGGAACCGCAGACGTCGCCAGGATAAACCTGCCATTACTGCAAAACTGGTGCTTGACGATCATATTAAGAGCGATGTCGGCATAGTATCCGAAGACATCTTTCGAGACCTCTTCCCCCATCTAGGTAACGGTAAGTGAAGCATATCTTTCATTACAAGTCAATACTAGAACGAAATCCCAGCTCAACTCTACCAAGGCGCTACCGAAGACGTTCACCACATTGCGATCGCTCCGTGGATACCCAATGCCAACCCTACCGACAGTCCATGGTCAATTGTACCCATTATCGAGTCTTCCGCACTCGCGCCCTCGACCGTCCGATTCTCACCGTCTTCTGCTTCCTTACAAAGCTTTGCTGTGACGTTACAACAGGTCGCGCCATCCAAGCTATCAAGTCACAGCCGCGGCGGAATCGAGATCCTCGTCCTTGACGTGGCGCCCGTTCCTCTCGAAACTGTCTTTGTGAGCTTGGAGAGTGAATTGACGAAAAGACTGGAGAATGGGGAGGGTACTTTCTTTCGAGACCACCCTGCCAGCTCAAAGGCGAAAGGAGCCGATTCAACACCGGACGGGCGTCTTGTGACTTCTCTGAGAGCTGCCCTGGGCAGTCTAAAGGTTGTACATGCTGGTGATTTATTTCCACTACCTCTTCCGCCTCACCCTCTTACACACGTGCCTCCGAACCCTGGAAAGATCATGCTGTGCGAGCCTGTTGCCCAAGGTGTTTTAACAGAGTCAACCAAGATCATTCTCATGCGCGGTCGTATCCATACCAAGCAGATACGCCGCGTTGCTTCGATGACCGCTAGCCAACAGCTTAATGGTGTTCCCGAAGATGAGGATGATACCAGCAATGACCAGTTCTACTCTGCAGCTGAGGATCGCGATAAGTCAGGAATGACCACCGAGGACATGGAGTCTGCGACCGAAACCGAGCCAGATATGTCCGATTTCGACAACGAGGACGAATTATCAGATGATTCTATGGACGATATGATTTCTTTGCAAGCACCAACCTTGCCCACAACCAATGCCAGCGGTGTATCAACACTACAGCCAGGCACGCCTATGACAGTTGGGACGCTTCGTGGCAGGAAAACAAATGGAATCGCAACGCCTGGCTCCGTTTTCTCCAACTTCACTGCGACCACTGCTCGACCAGACCGACCTCGAGGTCGTCTCTTCAAAGCACAGGGTCTGATGGAACAAATTCCGACAGACCTCTTACATCCGAAGCCATCCTTAGAAGACGATGAGGAAGCGCGAATCTACGTTGACGTGACATCACTGAGCCGTATTGGATGCTTCTCTGGAGATTGGGTACGAATAGAAGCTGCAGAAGAACCCCCTACGAATGGATTTGGTGCATTTGGCCTCGGAAGTTTTGGACAAGTTGAGTCAGAGCCTGCCAAGTGGCGACCCGTCCGAGTCTATGGCCTCCCTGAAGGCTATTCGCAACGGCCAATGACTAGAATACCCAGCGCTAAACACGGCGAGAGAAGATTGTCATTCTTCGAATCCCAGATTCAGCGGCCCGCCAGTCCTACGGCCTACGCCTCGCCTATCCTCTTAGCCAATCTTGACGATGCACCCTATCTACGTCTTGCGCCCTTGAAAAAGGCATCATATCAAGGCAAGGGGACAATCCCTCGGTTTACAAGTGCAGCTCGTCCGCCTTACGCTCGAGATATTACTATTCACCACATTCGAACTCCCATTTCTGCAGAGCGAGCTTTCCAAACCGCCGTTCTGGGTGGTCTCAAACGGTATTTCGCCCAGAAAATCCGCCTTGTTCGAAGCGGCGATCTTATCGCTGTCCCAGTCGACGCTGAGCTTGGCCGCACGCTCCAGGAGATGCCTGGCGCAGGAGGATCCGAAGTGGACGATGTGATGGCACTTACTGCTGGTGGACAGGAGGGAGGAAAGCAACCCTCCAAGTTCGACAGTGTAGCTTGGTTCAAAGTTGGACATATCCAAATCCAGAAAGCGGACGAGGATGAAGATGGAAGCGCCGAGGCTTTCTGGGGATCTGTTGCGTGCATCGATAGTTCATCTGTTGCAATGCATGGTTCAGGCTTCGAAACAAGTCGCATACCAGGTATCAAGCAGAGCACATGGCAATATTATCTTGGTCTCAAGAAGACCCCCAAGAAGGCATCGGAGTCGACCCCGGCTCCAATTCAGGAACCTGAGTTGCCATATGTGTCACCTCTCAGACGCCAGTTGAGGGAGTTGATCGCAGCAGCCACTAGCGCCAGAGCGATTCATTTGAAGATGCCTCCTGTCGCAATTCTGTTGACGTCAACACATCGAAATATTGGAAAGTTGACTCTAGCGTCAGGCGCTTGTTCCGATATGGGTCTTCACACATATAAAATCGACGCGTATGATATTCTCAGTGAAGGAAGCGGCAGTGGAAGCGATGTGAAGACTGAGGGTTTTCTCAGGACAAGAGCCGAGCGTGCCATGAGTTGTGGTCCCGATTGCTGTGCTTTACTTGTTCAGCACGTCGAAGCCCTGACTGCTGATCGCATTGAGTCAACGATCAAGGAGATCCTAGAAGACACACGAGTTTTGATTGCCACAACGAATGAGGTTGACAAAGTACCCGATGGCGTTCGAGCCTTGTTCACACACGAGTTGGAAATGACAGCTCCTGACGAAGCGGAGCGTGAGTCTATTCTGAAATCCATCATTAGCGATAGGGGTGTCAGTCTTGAACCTTCGATCGACCTCAACTCAATTGCTCTCAAGACCGCTGCGCTCGTGGCTGGCGACTTGGTAGATGTTGTTGAGCGTGCCTCTATCGCTCAACAGTCACGGCTAGAGCAGCTCTCAGCCAAGAATACGCATGATAACACGATTATCACGGTACGAGATGTTCAGGTCGCTGGTGGTCCCCTTGCCCGCTGTCTTACCAAGGGAGATTTCGAAATTGCTGTCGAGGCTGCTCGCAAGAACTTCTCTGACTCTATTGGTGCACCCAAGATCCCCAATGTTACCTGGGATGATGTTGGCGGTCTCAACAATGTCAAAGAAGCCGTTACTGAGACCATCCAATTGCCACTTGAACGTCCTGAGCTGTTTGCGAAGGGTATGAAGAAGCGATCAGGTATTCTCTTCTACGGTCCTCCTGGAACTGGAAAGACACTCTTGGCCAAGGCGATTGCTACTGAATACAGTCTCAACTTCTTTAGTGTCAAGGGACCAGAGCTTCTCAACATGTATATCGGAGAGTCCGAAGCCAACGTTCGACGTGTGTTCCAACGTGCTCGCGATGCTAGACCTTGCGTTGTATTCTTCGATGAGTTGGATTCAGTGGCACCAAAGCGTGGCAACCAAGGCGACAGTGGCGGTGTTATGGACCGTATTGTCTCCCAGCTTCTGGCAGAACTGGATGGTATGTCTGGAGGTGATGATGGCGGCGGCGGTGTTTTCGTTATTGGAGCAACCAACAGACCAGATCTTTTGGACCCTGCCCTTTTGCGACCTGGTCGGTTTGATAAAATGCTTTATCTCGGTGTCTCTGACACCAATGACAAGCAGCAAACCATCCTGGAGGCACTGACCAGAAAGTGAGTTGACACCATTAACCCTCTAATTCAACAGTGGCTAACCTCTTTGCAGATTCACACTTCATCCATCAGTATCCCTCGCTTCGGTGGCAGAGAAACTCCCCTTCACATATACCGGTGCCGATTTCTATGCCCTCTGCAGTGATGCAATGCTGAAGGCCGTTACACGGCAAGCCACAGCCGTGGACAATAAGATTCGCGCCATTAATTCAGATCCAGCAACCCAACATCCCATTTCCACCGCATATTATTTTGATCACTACGCTACCCCTGAAGACATTGCAGTTATGGTTCAGGAAGAAGACTTCCTGGCGGCTAACGACGAGCTCGTACCTAGTGTCAGTGCTGGCGAACTGGCTCACTATGAACATGTCCGGGCAACCTTCGAGGGAGTCCGAGAGAAAGAGCCGGAGAGCAAGCCACCTCCAGTTCAACGTGTTGTCTCAGGGGCGTCGACATCATCAAAGGGCAAGGGCAAGGCAGTTGCTTCAGGAACAAGTAAAGGCAAAGGCAAGGCGATCGCATTGGCAAGCGGCGAGGAATTCGATGAAGAGGACGAGGTGGGTGATATGAATGGCAGATCCAAGGGCAAAGGCAAGGCACCTATGGGATTCCAAGATGGAACAGCCAGCGATGACGATGGATTGTATTAGTTGGGGATGGAGCATTACGGCATTATATAACATTATATAGCATTTTTGTATATTGAGTGTTTGAGGGGAGATTGGGTATTTCTTGTTATTAATGTCATGGTGGTATATCGGTTGAGTTTGACTAGACTCTGTACACTATTATTTCCCCATCTGACGAGAACATTGAAGCGAAATCTTTGATTCGTCCTGCTCCAAATCGCTCTTATTTCTTGGCATCCTTCTTGACTTCTTTCTTGACTTCTTTCTTGACTTCTTTCTTGGTGTCTTTCTTGGTGTCTTTCTTGGTATCTTTCTTGCTATCCTTCTTAGGGTCCTTCTTGGAATCCTTCTTGGGGTCTTTCTTCACGTCTTTTTTGGTGTCTTTCTTGGGATCCTTCTTAACAGGCTTCTTGACATCTTTCTTGTGGTCCTTTTTAGAGTCTTTCTTCGAGTCTCTGTGGGAGTCTTTCTTGGTGCTCTCGGACTCTTCTTTGGCCTTGTCATCTTTGGCAGCTTCTGTAGTTTCTGCAGGTGCTGCTGCTGCTGCCGCCTCGGGTTCTGGCGTTACTGCAGGCTTCTTAGTTGCTTCTTCCTCATCGTCTGTTTCGTCTTCATCGTCTTCGCTGTCCTCGTCACTGTCCTCATCAGTGTCGTCGTCGTCCTCCTCCTCCTCCTCCCCCGTCTCATCCTCATCATCATCGTCCGACTTTGTCTCAGCCTTCTTTTCCAATCGAGGCTCTTCCTTTATGGCCGCCTTAGCTTCCGCAGCCTTGGCCTCGTCTGGGCTCACCTCCACACTGGCTCGTTTCAAGGAGGAGACTGAACCTGGACCGCTTTCTTTCCAAGTGCCAGTTGTCGGACTCTGAATAGCGTTTCGTCCTGCATCCGTCTCGGCCCAGGAACTGGATGTTGGTGACTGAATGCCATCGGTCTTTGCGGCAGGAGTTTCTGATTTCTTAGATTTTCCAGTCTCCTTTGCGCTTGTGTCTTCCTTCTTAGCCTTCGTACCATCCTTGCCATGGACCTTTTCTCGCAGAGTCTTCAGGCGAAGTTCCTTAGCCTTTTGCGCAGCTTCGTCGGCGACGGATCGGACAGGTAGGGCCTTCTCTTCCTTCTTAGATTCTGTAGAAGCCTTCGGTGTCGCAGAAGATGCGGCGGCATTGGCTGCTGGTAGCGGAGGCGCAGCAGGCGCAGGCTTCGGAGCAGCAGCGGCGCTGGCGGCTGCAGCTGCTACAGCTTTGGCCATAGGCGAAGGGGTCATGGAAGCAAGAAGGCCGCCAGTAAGGTCGATGGGCCGTTTCAGCGGGGGCTCGGGAAGCTTATCGTTGATGGAGGGGATGGTGAATTCGTCGAAGTAAATCGTGACATGCTCCTTGAGCTCGCCATATTCGTTCCATTCTTCGATTTCAACAATATCCTACAGAAAGCGACATGCATCAGCTATACGGCCCATGATAGTACTAAAAGGGGATGGATGTTGGTCGTACACCTATAACCCAGCCCTCCTGAACCAGAGCAGGAAGTTTCCTTGGGCGACCGCTCTTGTCTTTACCGGCTCTTCGGCCCCATAGCAAGCGAGCCTTGGTGTCGACTGCAATATCGACGGCTTTGAAGGGAACTCGGTTGGCGCGTAGGATGGTCTCGAGACGTGAGGTGGCCGTGACGATGTGGGACGAGCCAGCTGTCAAGGAGGTGAAAATAAAGAGGGCAGGGTCGGTCAAGAGGTTGGTCATGTTGGATTAAATATTAAATAAAGGGTATGATATGAGTTGACTTGACTAGTAGAGAGACTGTGAGTTGTTCGTCAGGGTATTCGCATTATCTGGTGGAGTTATGGAATGCGGTTGTGTTTCTCTGGACAACTGTCAAAGCAATGCAATGGAACGGTAGTAGGGAGATCCATTAATGGAGCTATCCTGATCAGGTGGTGGTGTCCAAGGTACTGTGTCGCATAATTTACCATGCAGAGTACTTGGACGCCCATAAATAGGGGAGCCGAGCTCCTTAATTATAGCGCTCCAACTTGGAGCCCTAGAGCGTCAGTTGGAGGTACGCTAGCACGATGCGGGGGCGGGGCATTTGGAACTGTTGCTGCAGGAAGATCTCCCTGAGCGCATGAGAGTGCTTTGGTGGAAATAAATGCATGAGAAGGGTTTCGAAATAGTTTAGGTGTCAGAAAAGTGTTTTATGGTCCTGAATCTCTTTTTTCTTCTCTAACTCCTAGGTAACCAATAACGAGAGTTACAAACTGAGGATGCAATATTCTCTCAGAAACAGACAATACAGTGATGTATGCTCCGTAGTTTGTGGCTGATACACATCTCGTGTTAGTGATATGATGTTATCTCACGTAGAGTGAGGCTGTTGAACATTACGAAAGAAGAGAAAGAGGTTCTCCACCGTGTCGTCAGTTCTTCCTTCCCTTTGTTTTTCTTCTTTTCATCTCTCTTCGTCTCTTTGATTCCTCAGAATGTCCTTCTCTCCTTTATCATCAATAATCGATATCAAACCCCCTGAGAAGAACCCCCTAGGCCTGTCTGTCCTTTGTTGGCCGCTGCTGACGGATGCCCACGGACACTACCTTACCTACCTACCTATGTATGGACGCCATCTTGATTCGGAATCGTCCACTATCGACGCAAGGACAGCGAAGGGCAGTCTCCAACTGCCCGTGAAATGTCTTGAAACTCCTTTATCTCCCACTCGAGACCAAGCCATCCTCTGTTCGATCAAGCCATGGAGCTCAAGATAGCCGCGTACCCGTCTGCACCAGCAACTACCCGCGTTTCCCGACGTCCAACAACAACTACCTATTACAAAGGAAGCCATATCCTTCGCCTGAGAGGACGACAATTTCGTGTTAACCCTACTCTTAATCTATTTAACGACACTGCAGATGATAGTCGCATCTTGGCATGATGTTGAGTGGCAGTCGAGATCCAATATTAGAGTACCATACTATGTACTACCATCGACTAGTCGCCGCTCTTTTGCATGATATCTAAGTATTTCTCTTATTGATGCGGTGTACCAGATCACCGCACCAGGACTATTCCATTGGCAACAAAAGCCGCTGCAGTACCAGGTATTGTACCAGTCTGGCTCAAGTCGTGCCGCTCGCAATAACCAAGGGCCCACCCCTTAATAGCCAGTTAGACATTCAGACATTCTCCCTTCATCTGGACTACCTAGGCCATGACCCTCGGTGTGGCTGCCATTATCCGTCGGCGGCGCCAGTTCAAGATCTAGAGGCATTTTCCGCTCCAAGTGTTTCAAGCCTTGCGCACGCACTTTAACTGAGGCATCTGTGACTGTCTCTGAAGTCACTCAAAGCCAAGTCATCACGAGGGTTTTGTCTGAGATTGGTTTGCAGTTCCTTTCCTCTCACCACCCACCAGCCTATCTTCGCGTGTCGGAATAATAATCCCCTCGTCAGAAGCGCTGTAGCAAGCCGTTTCATAACCTTGCCCACGCCGCCGCGTCGTGGGACGTTGAATGAGACGCTCTGGTCCTCGCCGTGGGTCCGGGAAATTGTGTGTCAAGCAATACAACCGAATTTCGCAGTCAAGTCCGTTAGTAAGTCGCATTACAGAGGACGGTCCGAGTTGCACAATGATATCTCTTCTTTCTTTGTCTCTCTTGACTCATTTAGACTGACAGCTTTGTCGACACACAATCAAAGTTCACCGACTTCTAGTCTAGAACAATGACAGTTGGCCAAGACACAACAAACCACGCAAAGTTCTTTGCTGGCTCCAGCAAGACACATCCCTGCGAGCCTGGCAAGCTTTGATTGGTCCAGGATATGCAGCCGAAGACAGTTTGCCAGTGACCGATGCTTCCTTTGCAGGGAGCTGACTGGGCTAGGCCGGGGTAAGCACTCTAGCTCAGGAACAAGCCAGTCAAAAGCGCAGTAGCTAAGGTTCTGCTCGATCCTCAACCGGGTTCTAGGCTGTCTTTGGATCCAATCACCGTCCACATTTTTGACTGCAATGCAAGGTACCGTTGTGTGGTGGTACTGACGAAAACCATTTGGACCCAATGCCGGGGCTAACTCATTAACTTCCAGGTACGGGGCTCGCTCAAGTTGGGGGCTAATGAGGTGACAACGCAACGCACCAGGGCTCTGACTGCTAGACAGACAAGGGTACCAATGGACAGAGATTAAGTCCCGCAGTGTGTGCGAAAACTACAAGTTGCCCTCAGTATCCGCCCAGGCGCCTTGTTTGGTTTCCTCTTGTTTACCTCTTCAAGTGCGCTTGTTTTGACGATATCAACCTTCCAGCCTTGTGCTATACACTCATTAAACGATTTTTGATAACATTCTTTGTGCTTTGCACCCTTCAGTCTCTTTTTCGCTCAACGCAACAAGAATCTCTTACGATATCTTGAGAAGAAATCACCACAGTTCTTTTTCAGACCACCAACAATCAGCATCACAATGCAGTTCTCCAGCATCATGATTGCCGCCGCTGGCGCTTCGGTTGCCGCTGCTCAGGACTATGCTCCTCCTGCTCCTGTTCTGGAAACCACAACACTCACCTCGACTACTACCCGGGTTATCACTCTTACTCAGTGCAACCCAACTGTGACTGACTGCCCCCTTCGTACCACAACCTCGACTGAGGTTGTCGTTACCACTTCGACTGCTGCGCCCGAGGTTCCTACCACCTCTGTCTACGTGCCCCCTACCACCAGCAGCGTCTTCGAGCCCGTTGTCAACACCACCAGCCACGAGCTTCCTACTATCATCAGCACTCCCACCATCAGCACCACTAAGAAGGCTCCCTCTGCCAAGACCACCTTCTACCCTGCTGGCAACACTACCACCAAGGCTGGCCCTACTGCTCCTGGTTCTTACACTACCACCAAGCTCCCCGTCCCTGGCAGCAGCACTGATGTTCCTGGAACGCCTGGCGATGAGGCCCCCTCCACCGTGCCCACCGCCGGTGCCAGTGGCCTCATCGCCTCTTCAGGCTTCGTCGGTGCTGTCATGGCCGCAGCTATGATTGCTCTCTTCTAGATGCATTAAACCACTTGGTTACACGACCCAGCCTGTGCCTTGGCAGTCATGAATTATTCTTCACTTCACTTATGATACCTTGTTCTTCTTCTTGGGGGATGGCCGTTTGGGGAATTTTCTAAAGGCGGGATTTTTGCTGCGAGGCAATGTCTTTTTCGAGATTGGCTACTGTGTAGCTATTTGATTCCTTGCAGGTCATCGATGGGGCGCATGGAATACCCAGCGCGGAGTTCTCTGAGTGCATCATATTGTCAATCACGTACACGTACACCTTGAGTTGTCTGTGTACGTGCGCATATGGTGTCCGGTTCTGGGCTTGGAGGCGGAAGCCTCGGAATGTTGAGGAGTTTAGAAATCTATGTTCACATCACATTGATAGAGTCATTCAAATCCAATTCGACACGAAACGACACATGACAAGTCTATCTATGCGTGTTTAATGATTATGCATATGGCTGCGCAAGGTAGTTGACTATGTGATCAGCTGCTGTTGTAGATGCGTCGCCTGGTCGAACACGCTGATTCTTTGCTTACATGTGCAGACTGACTCAGCGGCGACGTCTTAGCAGGCTGTCGTTATTCTCTTGGCCGCCACAGACTCGATAGTGTATGCATGGTGTAGGTCATTGGCGTCAGCTATTTGCATCATGTTCTTTGCAAAGATTCATGCGAATGTCATCAACTGCAATCAGGTTGAGGTTGTAATACAGTACAATAGGCAAGTATTATACTGTGGTATGTCATCTGTAGATGTCTGCATGCTATGTAATGTATGCAGTCTACTAACTAAGTTAGCAGGGTGCATCTCTAGGCATTGCCTTTTGGTGTGAGGCATGACTCTCGTGCCTTGGACATTAGATGCGTGTAACCACACCACAGCCATTAACTATCAAGTTGCACTTCTCATATCGAATCAGGGACATCATTATTTTCGCCTCTTTAGGACGTTTTGCTCCAACGGCGACTAATCATTGACTCAAGCTAGAGTTGGTATGTATGTAGCAAAAACTAAAGAAAAAACTAAAGACAAAAACTGGATATATCCACAACTGCAAGACCGTTACTCACGTGGCAGAAAAGTAAAAATTACCTACTCTAAAAAGAAAAAAGTTCGCCGAAGTTCACTTGGTTCCTTGGCTTTTTAGAGGCAGTTATATCCAGAAATGGATAAAATATTGGCCCTCTTTTTCTTTCTTCTCTCTTTAGTTGCCGTTGTCGTTGGTGGACCTCTTTCTTCACACCCTCTTTATTACTTAGCCTCTGACTATTGTACAGCCTCCAAAGCTTCGGGACCGAGCCGTTGGGGTGCATTCAAGACTTGAGGCTTGAGAATCACTACTAAGGTGCCAAGTCTATGAGCCTGCCAAGCTTCTCCTAAAGTTCCAAGTACCTATTCCGGGTCACTTGAGATCGAGGTTTTGTGTTTCTTACATCTCCATGCGTGTGAGACCTGTCATTTCTTTCCTTGCCTTCCATGTTATACTTACCTATCATGCCTGCACAGCTGATCAACACGGGCTAAAAGACGGGCGTTTGCCCTGCTGGGAAGATTCTCACTCTCTTCTGGCGGCCTGCATATGCGCCGCTTGAGTCGTTAGGGAGGAGGGAGGTCACTGTAATGTCGATCTCTCTGAGCCGCATCTGGTGACGTGCAGGTTTTGGCTGAGCAATGACTGGGACATGCAGAGAAACGCTTGGAATACATAAAAC